AACAAAGGAAGAACTGCAACTTTCACTGATGTAACTGATTGTAATACAAGCCTGCCTCGCGGTTATGCTTGCTACCTACGCTGGTGGCTTCCGGGGTGGGCAGGAGTCTTGGCATAAGAGAAACTTCCATATATTTACATATAGATATGTGAATCAGGTGTTGTATTGTAAGAAGGCGGAAAATGGATGTACACATATTAAATACAATAGGTACCCAATTTCTGACTGCGTAGTCGACTGAGTAGTTGCAAGTGCGAATGCCGAAGGAGTCTCTGGTTCGATTCCCGGGTCGGGCAAAGTATTACTGGGTTTTTTTTTAATTCTCAGTAGTAGCATGGAGTCTGCAATTGAGCCCGGTATATGGCAATAGGCTCACCCCCAGGACATGGGACTCATAAATCTCGAGACCCCTTACCCGACAGTCGCACTTACGATCACTCGGCTAACAAGGCAGTCTAGTCCTAAAGTGGGTGTTAATACATATTTGTCTAGTTTCTGCTAGACTAAAAAGTTTAAAGAACTATAATTTCTGTTCCTAACCTTCAATAGAATTGAAATTGTTTAGAAGGAAACCATAATCTATGATTTAATCCAAAAATAATGTATGATGATGCAAAAGACATCGCCCCCGGGTGGGCTCGAACCACCAACCTTTCGGTTAACAGCCGAACGCGCTAGCCATTGCGCCACGGAGGCTGTATTACAATTGCATAGAATATTGGATTCAGTATTGTTACTGGGAATAGGGTGGTTTCCTAAATTTTATTTTAATGTCCGTCTGGTACATTAATTGAAAACGTTAGACACGTATTTTTTCTTATCTCACAAAATTAAATACTTTCGACGATATATAATTTGAAATATCATGTGACGTCACAGCGTGCCACAGTTTGTAGCACGTTATGACGTAACGACCTCCCACTCCTAAACTTAGCGCCATTTTATTTAAGTATTGCAACTCAATACGAGAAAATAAAAAAATACGTGTCTAATATTTTTTCTTATTTTTTGTATTGATATTTGCTCAGTCTAAAGTAGATTTATATGGAGAAGAACGAGCAAAAAAACTTTTTTATAAATAAAATAAAGGCAGGATATACCCACCAACACATGCTATTTAATTTTGCACTACCGACAGAACATACACAATACAAGAACCTGAGCATTGATTTAGAGGTAAATACTAATAATTTGTCTGTTTGTTTGTCCGTGTGCCTTCATGTGGAACCTATAACCAGTACATACAACAAACAGTAATAAAAAAAATATTACTATTACATTTTTATGGCATATAAAAAATCAGTAAACGAGCACACGGATCACCTGATGGTAAGTTATCGGCGTCTCCCATGGACACCTGGAACACCAGAAGCGCAATAAGTGCGTTACTGGCCTTTTGGGGATTAGGAGTTTAAGGATTGTTGGGGATTCGGGGATTGGGGAGATTGGGGAAGGGGGGAGGGAGCTGGGCCTCCGGTAGCCTCACTCACATGACGAAACACAACGCAAGCTGTTGCTTCACGTCAATTTCTGTGAGGCCGTGGTATCACTCCGGTCGAGCCGGCCCATTCGTGCCGAAGCATGGCCCTCCCACACTTGAGTAACATAGACTACTTTTATTTTGGACTAGTTGACCCGGCAAACTTCGTACCGCCTAAAAGTTTTTTCTCACCTTTTAAACCTTCCCTAGACTTCCACGAACCTATCAAGACCAAAATTAGCCAAATCAGTTCACCCGTTCTCGAGTTTTAGCGAGACTAACGAACAGAAATTTATTTTAATTGATATACATAATTGAAACAAAAAAAAATATGTTCTAAAATTCATATACCTCCCGGCGAAGTCACGGGCAACAAAAGCCATTTTTGACAGACAAAAACACAAAAACAATTTCCTTAAAAACTTATATGATAATATCCCATTTAATTCCCAAAAGTAAGAAACATCTAAAGAGGCTAGGCCTTAAGCAATAAGCTTTGCTATCCCATAATACAAGACACGCTATTTAGTTGTGCATCCAAGTAAAAAATCGTCGCCCTCAAAAACAGAAAAAAAAATATTTATGCTGATTGTTGTAGGGACAAGTTAGTGAATGAGTAGCCTTGCGTGACGCTTTGGGCGCAAGAAAGATGAATGGGCAAGCTGTACTATAAAAATCAACAAAATTAAATAGATGATTGTATTGTGCTATGGGTAGCGCAACCAGAGATGGATTAAAAGAGAGCGCTTTCGGCAAGTACCACATAGGTGCCCCTATTTTTTTTGGCGCTGCCGTCATTCTACGTACTGTTAGGCATATGCGTCTTGCGGCGCCCCTCTACGGCCTGGCGCCCTAGGTTCTTGCCTTGTTTGCGACAAATACGGCTCTGGGTTGGGCTGTAGTATAAGTAGTCGAAAATTATGTTTTGGATTGGATTCCCATATGAAACTTTACGTACTTACAATCAGAATCAAAAGTTAATGAACACATTTAGATTTCGCTGTAGGTACAATGTATTACCTAAATCGGTTAACATGACAAGCGTCATTACTAAATTAAACTGTCAAACACCAAGCGGTCACCGGTGACCGCAACCTATTGTTCTATAATTGTGTCTACAAAACCGGTACTCGACGAGTTAATAAGGGTGGTATTTAATACTTCAGCTGTAAATTCCCTGTTTTCAATCGAAATATTCGAAATTACCACCAAAAATACTGAATTGCACACTAAATTTGCTCATCAAATAAATCAATTATACTATCTAATAATTTGTAATCGTAACCTAACCTAACTGTTGTAATTTGCACAATTTGTGTGCAAATCAGTATTTTTGTTATATGGTGTAATATGTAGTTAATTTTTTTGATATGCAGTAGGTTAGTGGAGAAATTTGCTTTGCTTATATTTCTAAATAGAGGTACAGTAATGTTCTAATCTAATCTAAATGTCTTCATCGAATTTCATACTGACCGTACCACATGATATTCAACTTGGCCTTTTTCAAAGGCTGGCAACGCAACTTTGACTCCTCTGGTGTTGCGGGTGTTCAGTCCATGGACGGCGGTGATCGCTTACCATCAGATGATTTGTCTACTCGTTTGCCTCCTATTCCATAAAAAAACACATCAACAGCCCATAAGTGTTTACTGCTGAGCAAGTGCATTAATTACTATGCTTTTGGTATAATCTGGAGATAATAATTGTTCCAATCTTAGCGTAGAGGTTCTTGAATTCGATTACCGGATCCTGATATGCCACGTAAACCGAGCTACGACTGACAGTATGGGATTCAATTTGTCGATTATCGCAATTCTGAATAGGTACCTAAATGTACAAATTCTAGTAATCTGGAATTGAATATGTAAAATACTGACTATCGTCCAAATATGAATAAGACTGATCCCAAAAATTAGAACTCTGAACTTGACAGTGTGTTACAGTGGTATTTCACACAGCCTCCGTGGCGCAATGGCTAGCGCGTTCGGCTGTTAACCGAAAGGTTGGTGGTTCGAGCCCACCCGGGGGCGATTGTTTTAAACATTAAATATTTTTTGTTGATACTAAAACTAAATTATTATGATTGCCATTAATTTTATTCACTGCCTCGTTGGCCGAGCGGTCGCAACTACAACGGATCTTGGGTTCTAGTCTCGGATCGGGTAAAAGTATTGCTGGGTTTTAAAAAAAATATCCGTAGTAGCACGTATTCTGGAATTTTGCCTGGTATACGGCAATAGGCATTAGGTACATGGGACTGATAACATAAATAGTGAAAAATGGTTATTATATTATACAGTGGTATTAAATGCCGTAATATGCACCTCTGCTTACCCTTTCAGGGATAAAAGGCTTAATGATGAGAGATTATTCAATTAAGATTGTACAGTTGAAATGTTCTTGTTTTATTTAGCTATCAAAAACAATGTTGATCCAAGTGAAAATGGGCAAAAAGTCTTATTAAAATTTGTTTCATTTTGAACTACATAAACCATATTCCGACTTCGTTACTGGTGACCACTGCTTCTAGAAAGCTAAAATTTCAAAAAGCAATAAAGGTTTAGGCAAAAACATTTGTCAAAATTTCACGACAAAGGGAAACTCTCTAAATTTATACTAATATTATAAAGCTAAAGAGTTTGTTTTTTTGTTTGATCGCGCCAATCTCCGAAACTACTGGTCCAATTTGAAAAATTCTTTCTGTGTTGAGTAGGCTATAAAATATCACGCTACATCAGCAAATTAATCAGACGAGCGGTGGGTGAGAGTGAGCGGGGGATCCTGGACTATAACTTGAAAATGGCTATCAGCAACAGGGACATGGCGGTAGTGGGCGCTCTTTTGGGTGGGGAGGGCTCGCTGTAAGCTTAAATTGTGATGCAAGCGTGACACTAATATACCTCTATATTTGTGTGTGTTTAATAATGTTAAAATGTAGTAAATATAATGTAACGTAATGTAAATTTTATCAATAAGACTGACAAAATCCATTGGCACTACTGGAATCGGCTTACTGCTGCGTGAGCAGACGTCATGCATTCTTAAATGTTCTACAGTCGGTGGCGCTGTGGGCTGGGTCGCTCCGTTCCCTACGAAATGGTTGATCGGATCGATTGCTGGCCCTCACGTCATGCTCGTGAACGGGCGCCTTCTGCTGGAGCAGGTCGGCTCGCTCATCGCGCGTGTGGGCCGATCCAGTAAGGTTAATGTAAATGTAATAAAACATGTATTGTGTATATATAAATATTAGATTTAGACACAACCTTCTTTGTGAAAAAAAAAAAAAAAAAAATGTGGTTAATGTAGCACGTAAGATTTTTATAACAAGTAATTTTGACTGTAAATTAAATGTAATGGAATGACAAGGGCACGGACAAGAGTCCGTGGAGAATAAGAAATGTAAGATTTAAAAAAAAAAAAAAAAAAAAAATATCACGCTACGATTAATAGGCGCCGAGCAGACCAAGTGAAACCGCGCGGAAGTAGCTAGTTTTGTAATAAAACTATAAAAAACCTCATCAATAATAATTTACTATTGTCACAAAAAAAAACTGAAAGTACCTTCAAGTTAGTCAAACACGATCATTTCTTCGGAGGGCATGGATTCTTTTTGTCAGCAGGCCGTTCTGGTGGAGGTGGGGGCATGTCTTCACGACAGGGTATCCTCTCCCTCAAAATTATATTCTGCCCACAAGTCTTATTGAAAATAGCCAGTGCAACTTTAGCAATCTTATATGATGCAAGCCTAAACACTTCATCTGTCTCCTTAGGAAAGCATAAAGCACCAGTGGCCAATCCTCCAATACTTGCATAAAAGAATTTCGTTGGTAGTCCCTTCTTAGAGGCCATGAAGAACCCAGTTGCAGCACCAACCGCTACCACAGCTTGCCTTACATTACAATTCTCAGGTGCTCTCATAGCCTTCTTAAATTCCGCTTTCTTCTGACAAATCACCGCGCATGCCTCATTTTTCAACTCGCAAGCGTCCTTCTTGAAATCTGCTATAGAGTCCACCCAACCTTTTCTATAGTTTTTAACCTTTGGATATATATAGTTGTGTAAGAGTTTTACATCTGAATTTGGGCACTTCTTTTTGTCTTCCATGTAGTCTTTGTACTCATAATGTGGGCTTTCATAAATGGGTAAGTCCTTGTATTTCATTTTTGGTGGCTTTTGTGGGGGCTCATCAGGTTTTGCAGCGTGTACCACTGGGATTAATGATAGATTCGTCCCAACTAGGGCCGTTTTGAGAGCTTGTATCCATATTCTGCCGATGACGTAGAGGTCCCCATGACAGAGTTTAGATATGGACCCTATCATTTCTGTCTCAGAGCTGAATATAGCATCATTGTGATGCTGTTGATTATCTTCTACATAGTGACCCACTTCTGTACATGGATTTTTCATTTTATTGTATAAAAAAATGATTTAAAATTTTATATTTTCAAAATGTTTGTGCTTTGTTGTGTTGTGTTTACAAAAATTTTTGACATTGACGTTTTAGGTTTTCTTTTTGATAGATGTCTGTATGAAGTTGGTTGTAATAGGTTGTGTGTTTTTGTATCTGTAACGAGGTCAAATATTCAAGAATAAGGTATAATGACATTATGTGTCCTTTCCTTTTGTATCCTTTTCTTTTGTATTGTAACTAGTATATTTTCGATTTACTCACGTAATAATTTGACGAGGATCTCGACTAATTTCAAGCCATGCTAGAGGCTCATATTCATGAGCAGCATTTCGCGACCCGCGACGCGGCGACTGTCGCGCTGCTACTGGCAACTCGAGTCTGCGGGCCCAGCGCGCCCTCTGCCGTGATTCACGCGCACTTTCCTCTATTCGTGGTATCGGCGACGGCGGCGCGCGTGACACTGTTGGCATGCTAGACTCGCCCGTCGGTATTTGCATTGGTGTTGGGTTCGAATCCCGAGTTTTCTTGTTCGAGTTATAAATATTGTAAAAAAATAAATGTTTCACACACCGTAATAACAGCTCCATTACAAAAGATAGACATACGTACGATTTCAGAAAACCCATGTATGCTAGACACGAATGTGGAATCAAATATCAATATAATCCTTCTTTTAACCGACTTCATAGAAAGAGAAGTTTATCTGATTGACATATACGTATGTATGTATGCTGTATATGTGTATGTTCGTGCCCGATCATATTGTAATTCGCTGAACCAATTTTGATGCAAATTTCAGAAAAGTGTTATACTTGGGAGAAGGTTTGAGTACATAAATAACCGATTTAAAAAAATACCCCCGTCGAAGCCGGTTTTTTTAAACGTAGTTTATAAAAGAACTAGCGACCCGCCCCGGCTTCGTACGGGGGCATATGCATGTATCATACATATAAACCTTCCTTAAGTTTATCTATTAAAAAAGCAGCATCAAATTCCGTTGAGTAGTTTTAAAGATCTAAGCATACATAGGGACAGACAGACGGCGGATAGCGACTTTGTTTTATATTAAGTAGTGATTATTCAACGTCCTTGATCATAATTATTTTAAATCATACTGTCTTTTATAACCACTATTTAATCCCACAAGAGAACTGTAATTCCCGGGTCTTTTAGAAACCAGAGGCGTGATGATATGCACATTACATTATGTGACATTATGACTCATAGACACACAACTAAAGAAATGCGATTCGACGTCAAAACACAAGTAATTCCGGGAACTGACTCATAGTGTTGTTAACATTTTAACTTTTTTGACCATAAACTGAATTTTATGACTTACCCACGACCTTAAGGTATTAAGACCTCTGCGGTAAGACCTTTGGCAATTAAAAGGTAATTTTAAGAAGGTCCAGTTCGATAACAATCTGTAAGTGGTCAACTTAATGTAGTCCCGCGGAGGTGGCTTAAAGGAAGGCGTATTACTGGATATATCATAGCGTCATCATCAACAGCCTAAGTTAACTTAACGTCATTCAGAACAAAACTATTTAAGTTTCTGTTGTATAAGTCCTACTACTCAACTAAAGATTTTCTCGATGACAAAGATTCCATAAACATTGTTATGGAATAGTACATAAATATATTAGTAGAAAATAAGTGTAATATTTGTACACCGATTCGGTAGAATGTACGAGACATTAATTAAGATAAAACTACATTCTGACAAATAAATGTTTCTTTCTTTCTTTCTATTAGTTGCCACTGTTGACTAAATACCTCTTCTCGCACGGAGAAGGTTTGAGCATTAATTACCACGATTGCTCAATGCTGGTTGGTGAACGATTCGAGTTTCTTGCTCGTTCTCCACTCGAATCTTCATTTTGGAACAAGCACCTAGCTTCACAGACGGATAGACTGACAGACTATTATTTATTTTATATTTGTTGATGTTTCAAAAGTAACAAATTATGGTAGATTAAAATAAATGCTTTTGTGTTTGAGTTTAAATAATTTTCAATTCTTACGGGTGTTTTATAGATAGTTTTTGATTTGATAAAACTTTTATTACAATTAAATTAAACAATTGTGTTTATTTATCAAAATTATACACTTTTCATTAGAGGATTAATATGGATACCTCAACCGGAGTGATACCATGGCCATATAAAAAACAAACGTGAAACAACGCTTGCGTTGTGATTCATCGTGTGAATGAAGTTACCTGAAGCCCAGTTACCCCCCTCCGCAATCTCTCCAATCCCTAAAACCCCAAAAATTCTCAAATTACTAACCACAAAAGGCCGGTAACACACTTGTAATGCCTTTGGTGTTCCAGATGTCCATAGCCTACGCCGATTGCTTACCATCAAGTGATCCGTCTGCTCGTTTACCAGCTTATTCTATAAAAAATAGAGTTAGAAGAAAATTACAACTCCGTATTTACTACATCTGGTCTATGTAATGAACCTTCTGACTTTTACCTTTACTTTGTCCACTTAATGTTTTCGGAATTAAATACTTCAACTCTCACGCGTTTACCCTTAACGGGGTAAGCGGTAATCGCAGTTAACACAATATTTTATAGCATTAAACTGAATACAGCTATTTTTATTGTTTTAATAAACTTTTGTAACTACAATTGTCTTGTATCATTATTTAAAAGTAATGTCACCGCCGAGAATCAAAGTTCCCATGCTAAATTCCATGATTCCGGATACATTTATAATTAAAGATTTATTATTATTACTAAAATATTTTGCGAGATCAGGGATTTAAGCCCGAGACCTTGAGCTCAGCAGGTGCGTTTGGCCATTTGACCAACGATACTTTAATAGCAATAAGTTTTCATGGCTCTGAAATACAAAAAAGTCGCCCCCGGGTGGGCTCGAACCACCAACCTTTCGGTTAACAGCCGAACGCGCTAGCCATTGCGCCACGGAGGCTGTGTCATTAGGCTATGAAACAATAGTACTAACCAATAGGAAACGCAGAAGGAAGAATTCGATACGTTTTTTGATGAGTGTTTAAGATTCTACGATTCTTATATACTTCTATCGCTTCATCAACAGTCATCGATCTTTTCATGCATGCTCGTCGGTTAAGGGTACTTCTAATTTTAAAGAAGAATTGATACTTGGCTTTTGTAGGTTTCGTATCTGCATCCTCATGCATGAGAAGCGTGCGTCTTAAACCTCTGAACAACCACGACATTAAAGCTGTGTCTATACTGAGTACATATTTTTAAAACGGAACAAAAGTTAGCCTTACCAGGCAACAGTCTGACTCAAGATTCGATAACCGAACTTGTACTCGATTAAAAACTAAAAAGGAAAAATCATTTGTATGCTAATGGTAACCATTCATCATTTTGTTTTCAAAATAAAGGGATTACTGTCAACATTATCTCCAAACAATATGTTATATTGTCTCATAAGGAGTTTTCGAAAGAGAGTTTTAAATAAAGGTATATAATAATAAAGTACAGGCAATACAATACTTTTTGGGCCTGGGGTCCATGGGCGGCGCTGGTCCGTTCTCAGTTTTTTATAGCATAAGCCGGTAAACGAGCAGACGGATCACCTGATGGTAAGTCCTCCACAATCTCCTCAAATTTCCAATCCCCAAAAGGCCAATAACGTACTTGTAACGCCTCTGGTGTTCCAGATGTCCATGAGCTACGCCGATTGCTTACCATCAGATGATCCGTCTGCTCGTTTACCGGATTATGCCATAAGAAAATGGGACTGGTCCGTCTAGTCCTTACTGTATTATCTATTGTCCTTAAGGTTATTTTCTTTTCTGAACACAATTGAACCAACAAAACTATGTAACAAAAGAATTGTATTGTGAACTTGATTGGAAAAGAGTAACCTATGGAGTTTCTTGCTCGTTCGTCTACATAGGAATCTACACCTTGGAATTAGCAAGTAGTTAACTTTTATTTTTTTTGTGGACGTTCCAAAGTACCTTTCTGATGCAATTAAAGTAAATGATTTTGACTTTGATATTGAAATCTCATCTCACTGTCTAATAGCATAGATTTGAATTCTGGTTATTGTAGAACGTCAACTAAACTTGGCTTATTATTTGCTTATCATAACATAACATAACATCATGCTTTTTATCCCCGAAGGAGTAGGCAGAGGTACACACAGAAGTTACACCCACTTTTCACAATTTATGTTATGAGTCCCATGTAATAGGGGGTGAGCCTATTGCCATATACCGGGCACATTTCCAGACTCCGTGCTACAACTAAGATTTTTTTTAAAAACCTAGTAATACTTTGCCCAACCCGGGAATCGAACTCGAGGCCCTTTGCCCGGCAGTCGCAATTGCGACCACTCGGCCAACGAGGCAGACAGTAAATGCTTATCACTTTGTCATATTCTAAGACAAGACACAGCCGAAAATCGAACGAAAAATTTTAAGCATGACAACACTCGCTCAAATCGATTGCAAACCGAATCGATACTTGATTTCGACTATTCGATTAACCGATGCACTCGGTCTCGATAGCATAGAAAAAAAAAGGAAAATCGTTTCCTATATGCCATGTAGAACGATTCTTTACAACAAGGTTTTTGATGCACTCTCTAAAAAGTAATGAAGCTTTAGGAGTTTGAAAATAAGGTTGATATTTCTGTGTCTGACAGTTTTTCAGATGATTAAGTAACGTGGTTTCCAAGGTTGGATGAGGTCGTTCCGTCTGTCTCTTTGATACCATATGGACGTAATTTTGAATGGATTTTTGATTTGAATTTCAGGTGAAATGTATGTGACTTTGTATGAAAAATTTATTGGTAGATAGTGTATTTTTTATAGACGAGTCTACGGTTTGGGACGAGTAGTTCATTATTGGACAGTCTGAAAGACTAATTGAAGGAAAATTCTGTTTGGATTATACTCTGTATTTTCTAGGACACTAGTGCTGAAATACTCAAACGCCACTCAATTTTTAGCCACGCTTGAGTATATTTCTAACATCATAACATAACATCACGCCTTTTACCCCCAAAGGGGTACGCAGAGGTGCACATTAC